AAGGCTATCATCAAGATCCATATATGTATACGAAGACATATGAAATTGCCCTCCGGCTCTGGAAAAGAAAGTATTCTTGATAAAACAGAGATCCATGGAATAAGAAAAAAAAGCTAGGAGCATTAATAATAATAGTAATAATGATTATTGTTATAATACTCATGATGATGATTGCCTTTTATGGCTATCAACGACAAGATTTAAAGGCCATAAAGACTCTTAGATCCATCCCTCAAGGAAAACACACCATAAACACTCAATTCATATTATTAAATATATTACGTGAGGCGCCTGGAATAGATAAAAACAACAACTAGAATCGAGTATATTTATAATTAATCTCTCCATTAAAAATAATTCAAGTGATCAATCAGTTAGTAGTGCTCTTTGTGTCATAATATATCATTTTATGTTTCATCCACCCAGATATAAATATTTCCCCTCTTAAAATGACAAATAATTCGCAAATGAAATTTATTTTATTTGTTTTAAAAAGAGGAATAAATGTCGGATGATTGTGCAAATAAAAGGCACAGATAGAGAGGAGTATGAGGTACCCTGCTGGGGATGGGAGATCCCTCCATAAACAACCCATGCGGGCTGAGCTCTTCCAAACGAGGAATCCCTCTTCATAAGCTTTGTTTTTTTTTGTATTCGTTCCCCCAATCTCTTATATCTTCTCTGTCCGTGGGTGGTCAGTTCCAAAAGTAAAGAAAAGTTATGGGCATGTAAAAGGACACAAATTTGATCATGTATGACATGGGATTTTAGAAGGGGTGTAACACTTTTTACTTTACTTTTTATTATTTTTGAACATGAATTGGTAATGTTAATGGGGGCATAACTCAGTGGTAGAGTGTCCGCTTCGCATGCGGAAAGTCACGGGTTCGAACCCGTTGCCTCCATAAATTTTGGTTATTTTCATTCCATTTGATACGTTGTCTTTTACCAATAAAGTTTTTTAAAATTATCTTTGTTTTGTTTGTTATTTGCAGTGATTTTATTAGTTATTTTTTTGTTTATTTACGTAATTTACAGTGTATTGTAAAAAACTATTTGAATAAATATTTTGGTTGAAAAATGCACTAAAAGTACAAAAAACTAATTTAATATATTAATACTTAGCTCCACTAACAACTGGTTATCTGACCATCAACCCAAAAACAAACTTTTGTCATTTATAATTAAAGCTCTATTGCTGAAAGTAATAAGAAATCTCTAACTTTGGAAGTCACGGGATTATGTTCGTAGGTTGCAGGTGTGTGTCCCAACTACGCCAAGACAGTGACTGTTCCTCTCCCTCAAGACGGGACTCTCTGACTGTCACAGCTTCGGAGAAAACTCAAAATATTTAAGAAATCGCCAAAGTGTAAGGGGATTTAAAGATCCCAATTTTTTCATGCTCGTCTCGCCAATTCGTTTGTTGTGAACCCTCCCAGCAGATCATTCATTGCCTACATACCCTAAAGGCGGTTCACAGGGCCATGCTGCAGTTGTTCGGCAAAAGGCCTCTTTGGAGATTGAACTCGCCGACCTGGCATCCATGACGGCGGCGTCCAACAAATATATATGTAAACACAGGGATGTGGATGAATAGAAAAACGAACACATTCGCTACGCACGTTCGAAATCGAACGCCAACAGAATATAAATGAACGGACGAATGGATTTTTGGGTTGTTGGCGTTCGTCCGTTCAATTTATATTGTTTTCAAAAATGTGGACGTTTTTTAAATAAAGAATCAATGTTTCTTATATCACTTAAGAAAAAAAAAGGTGAGGATTTTTTTTTTTTTACAAAAATAAGTGCAATCGAAATTACTAAGAGTGCTTCTGGGATAAAAGTGAGACGGTTTAAAAAAAATGGAATTGTTTCAAACTTAAAATAGGAAATAATAATATTTTTTGAACGAACTGACGAACGCTAAAAAAATTGAAAACTGACGAACGCGAACATTTTTGCAAATCGAACGGGTGAACGGACGAACGCTAAGTCCCGAACGCCTCAAGCCTGGATGTAACGGATGAGAGTACCCTTTTAGAGCCCATCAATGGGGGCAACTTGAAAATATTATTTTAATCTGAGTCCTGACGATTATATCAAATGGTCATGATTATAGTCATACACATTCAAAATCACCCCCTTTAACCATTCCCTCCCTACCTGCAATCATCTCCGCTCATTTTGAATCCTCTTGGACAAATTGTCTGAAGGCAGATGTAATACCTACGCCAAATAAGAAGCAAGTATATTTATAATAATAAATATGGCTATAAAATTATTGAAATAATTACTTTTAATTTCTTCCTGGAATCCTCTTATGTATTTTTCCATTCAATTATAATTACCCAGAAAATGTTATTGCTTTTAGGGGGGGGGGGGGGGGCGGGGACTCTCAAGGAGCATTGTAATGCTCATAAGTGGTATATATTATTAAAGTTATAATTAAAATGCCCTTCTCATTTCTGTAATTAAGGCGCGGATTGTTA